TAATAATAATCATTTTCATTTATTATGATAGAACTAACTGTGGCCTGTGATACTGACCAAAATATTTAGTAGCACCTCCTTCATCATGTACTGTGAGAAGCCCTGGTTTTAGAGTAGCTAGGGTGGGTACATGGCTTGGTAGAATGCCAAAGCTTCCAGTAGTAGTAGTTACATCAACTTGCTTCACATCAACTTCTGAATAGAAGGTCTAAAATGGTAAACGTTTGAATGCAGGAGTCATTTCATATTCAAGTAGGTGGAATACAATCACCCGCGTGAGTGTAGTTCTGATCAGGACTGTTGTTACATTGAAGTCTGTATTTTTTAAGTCTCCTATTCAGTGGCCACCTTCTGGCTTGGAGCCATTATTAGGCAGCTGTTTGCTCCTTCCCTTTCCTTCCCTTGAGGGCAGGTCTGAGAATACATCATACCTACCAACCCCCGGAGTACAAATATCTGGAGAGATCCAGAAATCTTTCCATTGTAAGAATGTCATTTTCAACAGTGTCTGAATACTCTCTGAAAATTACCTGAAGGCCTTCTGAATGTTCCCGATGTGGATAACAGCATGCAAAAACCACACCAACTTTCTACAACGTACTGTGCAATTTGATTGGTTGTTTTCTAACCAATTACGATACTAGTTGATTGCTCTGTTTTACGTTTTCTAATCAAAAAAAGCTCAAATAAGAGCACTAAATCCACTTCTTGTTTTATTTTCCTTTTCAACATCTTGGGAGACCGGTTTAAGCACAGTTATAGCAAGCAGCGCTTTCAGTAATGCCTGGCTAGAACTTGTGCAGGTACAGTAGTAACACTCGAAAGTAAGCTGATAGTCTCGACTAAAGACTCGATTGTCGCTGTGAGTTTCAAGATGTGAGTATCAAGTCTTGAATCAACTGTCAACTTACTTGTGAGTGGTACTGTATTTTGTATTTACAATAACTGTGATTTCCTATAGGCTGATTGGTCGAGAGCTATGGTCTAGAGGGAGTATAGACTGTAGAAATGGCACCATTTGTTTTTCTCTGCCTCTTGAGCATAGTTTTCCAAAATATGAATGTGAATATGGCTTACTATCATCACACATTGCCACTGGCATGTTTGCAAGACAGATCTCTGTGATTTAGCCTTGAAAATTCCATGCTGACAACATATGTAGATTTGTTTGAAATTTTCTTTCTCCTGGTCAATTAGCACCAATGTCGAGTTCTATTATGAATTGACACCAGCAACAGTAAAACTTCTTTCTTGTCAGGCAAATATATGGAAAATAAAGAAAATATGTGCTCTCCATTGAGTTTGTGACCTCTTGTCTCTCAACTGAAGTTGCAGTTGACAAGATTCTGGACAGATTTCTATCAACAGTATGAAATATTATTGTATTCTTGATTCAGGGAGCTTACTCTTGCAAAACACCACCAGCAATAGAGACTCAGAGCATTAGCAATGAAAGATGCTATGTTGTGGCAAACATAATAATATGTTTTTGTAAAATAAGCAGTAACCACATTTCCTTCTACTCACATCCATCACAGCTGCCATACTATTTCAAGGCCGTCAAAATAATAATTTCAATACCTAGAAAGGCTACTGCAGAAATATATTGGGCATCTTGACCTAATATAACCCAACAGATACTTTCTGTATTAAAGTTTTTCCAGTTCAAAGACAACATGCACCCTACAGGTAGATTTTTCTAGTAGCCAAAGATTATAAAATAGTTATCTCCCTGTCAAGAGACAGTCGAGCTTATTTTAAAACTGCATTATATAACACGTCTGGCTCACCACGTTTCCACAAGACTACTCTGACTTTTTAACTACTTACCTCTGTAGGAGAACCAAACGTTAGAGCCATACCAAAGCGCCCTACAGCAGCTTCAGCAGCGAAACATCTCCGTAAGATCGCGGACCCTGGTTGTCTAAAAAGACGAGGAACGGAACGGGAAAATGAACCCAACATCTTCAGGATCTTCAAGGCAAGATGGCGGCGACCAAGGAACACCCACAAGTCTGTGCGCGGAAAATTAGTACCCAGCTCCCCTATAATTTTTTAATCATCGCTCTTTTGCTAAGAAAGGGAACGAAAAAGTCTACGATATTTTTAATTTAGACTGCAATGACTGATTTTGAAACGCAGAATGGCTTCCCGCCAATGAAAAATGATCTGATTTTGCGAGCAGCCCGTGGGGAAACAACTGAGCGGGCTCCCGTATGGGTTATGCGACAAGCGGGGCGCTATCTCCCAGGTAAGTTGCTGAGTCAAGATCGTGATTTTGCGCTCGGCACGCAACTAGGATTTCCAGTTACTGGTCTAGTTCCTGTCATAGGCTGGATAAAATTGTGATTTCTTTTTATCCTAGTTAAAGCTCCCTTAACACTTTTTTTGTTGTTGTTTCATCGGCCGGGTCATTTCAGCTGACTTTATTGCACAGGATACCCAAGCGCAAAATGAAGGGCAAAAGTGACCTCATTTAACTTCATTATTTTGTATTTTCCCATTCAAGTATTGTACTCTTACAGTGAGATTAAAGGGAAAATAAAGCTGTTGAGTTTTGGCAGTTGTGGTAACACGATGAAGGCACCCATTCACCCATCCAGACATATCATAGAGTTTTGTGGACACGTTGGATAAACTCCACTGTAATTGCTAGAGAATGACATGCCAGGAATGAGGCAGAATATAGCTGTACAAAGTCCCAAGCTGTTATACGTATTTGTATGGGGTGGGAGGAGAGAGCTCAAGAGGGGGTAGGGAGCAAAAACACTTTCCCTAATGATATGCCAATAAGTTAATTTTTTTCTCAGAATTCCGTAAATTAAAGGAAGAAAACAATGCTGATTTCTTCAAGATGGTTCAAACTCCAGAGTTGGCGTGTGAACTTACTTTACAGGTAAACAAGCCTTTCACAAGTTTGGATTATTTTGAAATCTGACTTTTATGATACATCCACTTCACCATGCCCATTGATTATGCAACACTTGAAGCCATAATTAGTAAATTTCAACAATGAATCATTGGATCAGGTATATACTGTGTTTTCTCAATTAATTAATAATGTTCTTAGAGTGTATTTAACACTTATTAGAGCGTGGATGCTTATTTGTGGAAATATGGTAGATGTATACCAAATTATCTCACCTCGATGTTGGTAATTTTTTGCAGCCTATAAGAAGATTTCCTCTGGATGCTGCTATCATTTTTTCAGACATCCTTGTCATTCCTCAGGTGGGTACATGTACTCAGGTCCTCCTGTAATATCAGCATGCACATTCTCCTCACTGTTCTCCATACGTTTTTTACTTGTACTGATTGAGAGAATTAGTTCAAATTTCAAGACATCTCACCAGCGCTGATCATTGCACTCATTCTCTTGACCTGTGCATGTGATCTGGCAGTGATACTGTGAGGAGAAATTTGATACTTGGCATACTTAAGAATGAGTTTGGACATGGGACCGGAGGGCGGAGGAGGGCGGGGGCAATAGTGGTATACAGTTGTAATAATTTGGGGTTTGAGAAACTGAATCCTATTACCCTATCAGTACTAATGAGTCTTTGCTACCTTTTTTCTGTTTTTGATTCAACAGGCTCTTGGAATGACAGTTGAAATGATCCCTGGAAAAGTAAGTGCTAACCCCCCATCTGTGTGTAAGATAATGACCGAGGAGATAATGTAATATGTTACTTGTATACTGTACAGACATGCATGTGTGAATACGAAATAATAATAAAAACCGTATGACTGGGTTAAGTTATGTTATTTATATATAATTTTATTAGAAATTAATAATTTTTGGATGCAAAATATTATTTTTTCTCCTCTATTTTAGGGTCCAGTTTTCCCAGATCCAATCAGAGAACCAAGTGACATTGAGGTGACAATTATCTTTTCCTGAATTATTTGCTCTTCATGGGTGGGAGAACACTCACTTTACTGTGCACAATATTATCTACTTCACAGAAACTTAAACAGGAAGTTGATCTACAGAAGTCACTGGGATATGTGTTTCGTGCTATAAATCTGACAAGGGTTAAGCTGGAAGGCAAGGTTCCCTTGATTGGTTTTTCTGGAGCACCGGTAAGAAAAGTGTCACTCAATGAGGCCAGTCTTTTAGTGCTTCAAATTATTATCCTCTCCTATTCCTTTACAACAAAGTTCATAGAAGTTTCTACTAAAAACATGTTTGTCACTCTATTTTTGATGTTTGTTCGGATCAATGTAGCAGCGTGCAAAGAAAGCAGTGTCTGATAGCCCAAGGCTAGTGGATTTTGCTATCGGACTAGTGAATTCTGTCTTTAACTTGCCCGACGGGCAAGTGATGTTTTTTGAGGAATTTGAATAACGGAAGAACTGTGAAATCAATTTTGCGAGTCAAAAAGTTTTTGGGGCTAGCTGAAATTACCTCTGGGCTAGTAAATGCTAGATTCAGCTTGCTCGAATGGCAAGCTGTAAAAATGAATTTCTTTGTACCCTGATGTAGGTTTCTGGGAAACTGCCCACCAACCCCTCCCCTAACCATCATTTTGCCCAAAGCAAGAATTAAGTGTTAATGTTAGCTTAGGGGAGGGGTAGGTGGGCAGTTTCCCACAAACCTAAATTCATCCGTTTGTTCACTATAAACAAAATTACTGGAGGCTAATAAAATAATAATTATCATTTGAAAACTATAATTCTCTTTGTATTAAGCAGCCACCCTCCATTTAGCTGCCAGTTAACAGAGTCCCTGCAGACAAAATTGTCAGTAATTAAGTTCACTTTAAACAAAACCTCTATAAGCATTAACTACTTGTCCCTTCCCTGAGGGTGGGTGGGTGTTTATGACAGAATAAGGATTATTTTGCAAACATTTTTCACAGCTTGCATGGGAATGGAGCCTGTTTGATACAAAACCATTATTACCATCAAGTATAAAGTTCTTTAGACTCTTATTATTTAACAGGAATCTTCTGTTTAACCTATTATTGAGTGTTTTCTTTTTGAAGTGGACCCTTTTGTGCTACATGATTGAAGGAGAAAGTAGCAAGACTTTCAACAAAGCTCGTAAATTCTTACATCAGCATTTAGAAGTTTCCAGTCAACTTCTGCAGCGGATGACAGATTTAATTATTGATTATCTGGTGCTACAGGTCCGAGCTGGAGCTCAGGTAAATATTATACGGACTTAATGATATTATTTATTACATTTACTATCTGAATCATCTATTCCCAGGTGTGAAAGGTACAGTATGTGTACACTGTTATCCCCCCCTCAAAAAAAAAAACAACATAAAGTTTAATTCTCCCACACAACTGGGAGCCATGCCGAGCCGACCATGCAGCCCGACCTTTATTTTATCAACACTACGAATCATTAGTGTTACAGCACCAAAAGAGAGCTAACAAAACAGCTGAAACTGAGCCTAGATACAATAGATTAACATACAAGAATAACTGGAACTAAGGCACTACTTGAAATCCTACAACCCAAAAAACACATGAAGGGTGGGTGGGAGGGGAAGGTCAGGTAATGGCGGAAGGCAACAAAAACAAATAAACTCTGACATGCCACCTGAAGTCCCCCCACACACTCGAACCCAAAATCCCAGCCGAGTTTGAGAAAAATGTTTCCACTTCTTTCGTTCCTCAGCCAGCGCAAAACCACACTTACAATATGGAAACTCTCCTTTAGCAACTGCCCCAACTCATTATTAAGTGACTAGCTATAGTTAAGACCAGCCTTACCCTGTTTGAACTGTGTCTTGAGCTCGATCTGTGCTTTAATGAAAATTTATAATTAAAAGCTTTTGTAAGGGACCACTACCCGTAAGTAACCTTGACCAAGAAGTTTTGACCATGTTACAGGTGAAATTTTATTTCAGGTTTTAAATTTTGATTTAACTGCTAGGTTGATTCTCAATATTCTTTGTCTCCTACCTATAAGTGTCAAAGGAAACTGAGAAGCAACTTAGGTTAAGATTTTAGCCTTAAGTCAAAATTGACCTGTGACAACTACGATTAAAACTTCTGTGCATAAGCCTTGTAACCAACAGATAAGATTTTTTTGCTGCTAATAAATAATATTAACATTTGTCTCATTTAGATGCTGCAAGTCTTTGAGTCTCACGCAGAAGTGATAGGTTACGACACTTTTACACTTTGTTCACTGCCCTACCTCAAGCAAATTGTTGAAAAAGTAAAGGAAAAGTTAGGATCTGATGCTGTCCCAATGGTGAGCTGCCAGCTTAATTATGTTGAGTCTTCAGACTAATTGAGTGAACATTAAAATGTACATGAAAAGATGGTCCAGGGGTTTCGTTTTTTGTAATTTATTTTACAGAAATTATACTATACAAAATCCTACAGGGTTACATACGACTGATATGAAACCGTTAGGCAGAGCATTTGTTTGGTCTCATGATACTTATTTTTTGGAATTTTACAAAAAGGAATTTGGAAGTTTTGTAAATTTTTTCTATCGGCCAATAGACAAAGACTGTAAGGATTAACAACTATTTTTAAAATATTCTTTTTCTGTTGCAGACAATTTTTGCTAAGGGTGCACACTATGCCATCAAGGAACTTTCTCAGACTGGATATGATGTTGTTAGCTTGGACTGGACAATGTCAGCTAAAGATGCAAGGTGAGGCAAGAATTATTGTAAACCCATCATTATGATGCTAACCCTCTGAGCCCCAGATATCCATGTACAAAATTCTCCAGACTCGTCTCCATACATCGCCTTAAAGAATGTTGAGAAAATTTGAAAACAAAGATCAAAGAAATTCTTTGGTGATCAATTTCTAAATACTCATACACTTTTCTCTTGATGATGTGCAACCAATGGTGGGAGAAAATTGATGTTGGTCACTCTTGGGACCGAAAGGGTTAAAGGGTCTTAAGTGCAGATCGGCTGGTACGTATTTTGGTGCAGAGTTGCCCTGCAGTGGGGGACATACTATAATTTATTGATTATATGCATGTACTAGGTAAGGAATACTGCTCAAAGGTCAGGGTTTTGAAGAGTTTGGGTTGGCAATTATAGGGTATCGCTTCAGGAAATTTGATCACTTGTGAAGAGCATGAGAGGTTCTGGTTCATACATGTAGTTAGTCTGGGATAGGGTAGGGATTTTGTGCCTATATGTCTAGAATAGCGTACTTGCAAAATGCAGCTGCATGAATCCGGTATAATATATAGGTGAAGGGCTCCACAGTCCCAGCAGACAGTACACTCTGTTCCAAAATGTTGTAGAGTAGCTCCTGGTGTGTCATGGTGATCATGTGATGAGGCCGGCCCTGTTAGGGTAAAACTTCAACAAGCAAGATGGCCTAGAAACAGAGACCTGAGACACCTAAAATGGTGAAAAAAGACACAAAGATGGGTAAAACTGTGACCCACAATAGCAAAGAAAAGTGGAAAATTATATAGTAACAACAGGGATATAGGTTCCTCCTCAATACATGAAACGATGGGTTTTGAAATTTAGACAAGGGACATAAGTACCACCCCTATGAGCCTACGAGGGCCTCTGTGATTATTGGGTGCCCGAAACTATGCTACTACAGCTGTAGCTGCAGTCTTGTGCCCTACCTTACTTGTCTGATGCTATCCAATGATCACGTTATTGGATGTTTAGTCTCCATCACCCATCACAGCAGACTCCTCAAGAGACTGTGGCAACCCTTTGTTTTCGCAATCCTGCCGTCCTGTACCACTGAATTAATTTCATGCAGTAAGAGATAGCAATCAATTAGGAATCACTAGGTACCAAGTAGAATTATCCTCAAACGGTATTGTCTTACTTCAAGTCAGATCATCATTGGGTAGTACTGCCACTTTGTCTTACAGCTGCAGACATCCAATATGATCCCGCAATATAAATTCCAGGTTACTGAGGTGCTATCTATGTCATGTACTTTAATCAGTAACATTTTTGTTGGTAGGATTGTTGCACCAACTGTGACTCTTCAGGGGAACCTTGATCCAGCCTGTCTTTATGGAAGCCATGTAAGTTATAAGTTAAATTATTATACATTTTACTCACTCTCTAACTTCTCATTGGCTAAGACCCTACAATTACAGGTAATTTGGAAATCAGCACAAACTAAAGATTAGTTAGTTATCTGCTAGCATATTAGCGATTAATCTGCAGGGTGCAGGCACATTCATGATTTCCAAGAGCAATGTCAAACTGTGTTCCATGCAGTGCTGAGTTTGTTTTCTTCAAAACAATGTATAATACAACAATAGATTGAGTTTTTGTGATATCGGGAATAATCACGGTCTCTGCAAGTGTTATTCAGCCTCGGCCTTCAGCTTACCTCGGCCTTGATTATTGCACATGTCACAAAAACCTTATCCAATAATTGTTTATTAAAAAATCCCTATTCATTATTGTTTCTTTACTGGTGGCTCTTGGTAATTTTGCATCAATTTCATGGTATTTTTACACCATATATGATTTTATGATTCTATAATTATCAGGAATTAAAACGGTTCGCTTGCTTTCGCAGGAGGATATTCGTTATGCAGTGAAGAATATGCTGAGAAAGTTTGGCACTCAACGTTATATCGCCAATCTAGGACATGGGATGCACCCAGACCATGACCCAGAAAAACTTGCCACTTTCATAGACACTATCCATTCCTACTCAGAAACAATGAATGAAAGAAAGCTTAGTGGTGACTGACTTTTACAACCCTGAATCATGAGGATAGTTAACATAGATTCTTTCCCATATTGCTGTCAAAATTTCTTTAAGTAAAACTCCATCAAAATAACAACTAGTCAGGTTGGGAAACAAAGTAAAGTTTCATACATACAGTCGAACCTCCATGTGCAACCAGCTCCCATAACCAACCACTTATCCAAAACACCAAAATTTTGCCAGGCAAAGCCTTATAGTTGGAATCTCTTGTAAATGACCACCATCTCAGGTGGTCACTTACAGGAGGTTCAACTGTACATGTACGTTATTTTTGTAAAACCAGCAACATGTTGTCACACCACACCACAAAGACAAGTGTGCAGCGGAACAGCATTGTCTGTGGCTACAAAGGCCAATGTGGGAATGACAGTCTTTGCTGCAATGCGTGCATATATGAATATTTGCCTCAGTATTTAGCTGCCTGTCTTTGCCTTTTTGTCTCTTTGTTTCTTGTTTTTCAGCGATCTCAGGCTAGTTTCAATGTATTGGACAGTTAGGAAGGTAATTTCTTCCAAATCACAGACATGCTAACAGAGAAACTTTGTATTTTGTTGGACTGTTAAGATAAAATTATTTATGTTTTGATGTATTTTTCCTGAAGTAAAGTAATCTAAAACTAATTTATGGACTTCAGTCAATAAAAGCAACAAGAATTTTGTTTGGAGTAGTATGTGTCATTAGTGATACTGGGAACTTGTGGTGCCACTAGTTGCTTCAGAAAACATCACAAGCTGTTGCGTTAAATTGGATTAATGACTGATTGGATAGTGAATAGATGTTCGCCCCACAGGCAGAAATGTTTGCATCCTAAATCAAACACCTCATTCATATTTTGAATGTCAAGCAATTTTATTCCATATTAGTTCTTGCAAATGAATGTACCAACACAGGAGAGTTTTGAACTTGCTACTTCAATTACAACCTAAAAAAAGTTTACTGTATTATTGACATAAAGTGAGCACCTATCAACTGTCAATTAAGTTACATTTCACGACAAATTTTGTACACAACTCAGACCACCTACCAGCAAATCAAATTTGTTACAGCAGTTATTTCAAGAGCTCAGAATTTTAAATTTAAATATTGTATAATCAAACAGAGGCAACTTGCAAGTTTTAACACACCATTTTACTGACCGTAAAAACACCGTGTTATAGACACCTACATACATACATGCATACTTTATTTGAGGACGTTAAGAAAAAGGCAGCCCTAGGCTGATGTGGACCTTTTTTACCTGTTTAATATGTACCCCTCTGAGTCTCTGACAGATAGTTTCCTTTCTCTCCAGTGCAGAAAGCCTTTACACCCCTAACTTTCACCTACTTGCCAGTTATATGGAAAACACTTTTCCTGTCCAATCAAAAGATTCTAATAGAAAGTGCTAATGTTAATGATATATGAAATAAATCATATATGAACTGCGGAAAAGAAACGAAAATGAAGAAATGATCATCGCAGTGAATGCAATTTATGCAATTGCGTAAAAGAAAGTGCTAATGTGGACACTTCTTTGCTAACTGAGTGTTGTAATGTCTCACTTTTTCTAATGGTAAAACACCTTCAGGTAACATCATGTCAATACAGTCCACTCCCTCTCAAAGGACCTCTGTAAAACGGACACCTAGAGTTTGCCTTTCTTTACTCCCTCTATTTAACTCGTTCTATAAGATGGGTATCTCTCTAAGACAGACATCTACAGGGTCCACACAGTCTTGAAAAGTCCTCGAATTTTGGGGGAAGTCCTTGAAAAGTCCTTGAATTCCATTTTTGCTTGAAAAGTGCTTAAATTCCTGTGCAAGTCCTGAAAAGTCCTTGAATTTTCTTCAACTTTGAATGTAGTGGTCTGGAAAGTGTTTTTTTAATGGTTTTTGGTTGTCCAAGACAGAATCCATAGCTCAGAGAATTTAAAGGTTATTTACATAGAGTGCATGATGTTGTATACATTAATTAACTATCAATTTAAGACAAGTGAACTGAAAAATGTAGAGAAATTGGTGAAGCAAACAGTTCAAGCCTTAAGGCCTTAAGTGAGAATTGACTGGGAATGCGCATTTTTGTACAATCTGTGAAATTGTATTTGTAGTAGGTGGTCCTTGAAAATCTAATGGGGTCCTTGAAAAGTCCTTGAAAAATGGTTGCAATTTTTTGTATGAACCCTGATCTAGTGCTCGTCCCAAAGGTGTCTGTCTTAAAAAGAGTTGACTGGTTAAGATGAATTTAAGATGTCTGTCCATTTTAGCACCTCATGAGTTGATCTGCAGATCAGTACTGTTTGTGATAAAGCAATGTTTATAACAGCCACTTTTGAGTGTTTTCATGGATGTGGTCTGTGGAATTATCAACAGCTTTGTGTAAGTTAGAGATGTTTAACCTTGCTATAAATGCTGATGACCTGTTTTATTTCTTTAAATTTTTGAAGTTATGAATATATGAAAATTTGTTCCAATAAAAGATGTTTTTTGGACTTAAATTTATTTAACATGAACCACTTTATACGAACACCCCATTGATATTAGGGAGCTTAAGCAAAGGTCTTTTTAAGTGATGCATGTCAACCAGAAGTAAGGCCCTTTCCATTTTAACATACCTTGATTCTACCAAATTTGTCAAACCACTGCCCAAGAATGCATGAAGTCCACTACTGATTGGAATGCATCACTTAAAAACATCTTTGCATATAAGCTCACTACTGTCACTTTCTATAGTCCCCTTTTCAGCAGGTATTGTCTGTACAGTCGACTCTCTCTTAACGGACACCTCTACAAGACGGTCACCTCTACAAGACGGACACCTCTGTAAAATGGAAACTTAGAGTTGGTCCCTGCCTTTCTTTACTCCCTTTATTTGACTCTCTATAAGATGGACACCTCTCTAAGACGGACACTTAGTGCTGGTCCCAAAGGTGTCTGTCTTAGAGAGACTTGACTGTATTTCAAAGTCTCTCTACACATAAATAATTGCACTATTACTAACTTAGAAAGTGTTTAGCACTGAAATATCAACACAGTTTGTTTATTATTTATATAAATGTCTGAACTCATTGAGCCTAATAGCCTCATGTCCCTTCAGAAGAGCCCACGTCCTCAACACCAACCTTAGTATCTTGTTCCGAATTCTGAACAGGCTTTTTATCCTTGTTTGACTCCATAATGGCCCTTTTCGGAGGCTTTTCATCTGCAGCCCCTTCATCTGCATTCTCAACAGGACCATAAACCTTCTGTTCCTGCTGGCTCCTGCCTCCTTGAACTGCAAGCTGAGCACTTTTCTGATGGTATTCACAGATTGTTTCCAAAAGATTTAAGATCTCAGTTTGCTTGTCATGAATGTCACCTTGCAATGGGGCATTGTCAACTGCTTCTCTTTGGTGTACAACATCGTTAATTTGTGCAACAGTTTCTCCCATGTTTCTAACCTGATTTTCTAGCTGTCGTAACTGGGCCTGGAAGTTACCAGGGATAGCTGGCACAGTAGTGAGTGTTACAAATGGTAACCTTACTTGTAATCCGCTCAGTGTGAACATGGCAATAACAATAATAATGATGACTGCAATAAAAACAAATGGCTGCCACTGAAGGGGGACTTCCCTAAACAATGCACGGAAACTTTTGCCTAGAGCCTCAGCAAGTTGCTCAAATGGCTGAGCAATAATGGTTGCGACTGTCGCAGATAATGCCTAGAAAATGTTAAAACAAAAAGGTGTCAACATAAATTCACATTAATAAGTAAATATAAATGTGATATTAATCCTAATAATTACTCAATCTTTCATTCACTATTTTGACTAGGGTGACTTGGCTTACCACAGTGACAAGGTTGACTCAGGGCTTACTCTAGAGTGCAACCTTGCTGGATTTCCGCAATTTGGAAAAAAGTGATGCATAAAATTTACGTTGCCACGTTTAATGGGGTGCAGAAAAATAGACCCAAGGATAAGTACTACTTTTTGGAAATAAAGTATTCGAAAACATCACTCACAAAAACACTGATTTGACAGTCACTACACAAAATTATTTTGAAATTTTATGGCCCCTTACTGTCTCAATTGCCTTTCTCTTCTTCCTTTGAGTCATTATTTCACCAGACAAACATCTGGGATTCTGCAGTAATTGGAGCCC